GTGCGATCGGGTACATCAGATCATTCAGTCTCTTTCCAAATTCACGTAGCCTCTGGCGTGCTTCACGCTCAGTTTGCTCGTTGAGCTCGCTTGTGTACGTGCGAGCGCGTGTCAAACCGCCTTGCTCGATGCGAGACGTACCAAAGCTGCTTGCGTGTTCTTACGGGCGACGTTCTGTGGTACGTTGCGGCGCAATGTCTGCGCTGCCGAATCCCGGTTCGCCTGGCTGCAGCGAGGTGGTGATTAGCGTTCCGGTGCTATCACGAACGCTTGCCTTTGGATCGATGACAGGCCTCGTGTAGCTATTCCCAGGATCGACGTGCAGACTGAATGGCACGCCGATATCCCTCCCTCCCATCCGTGCAGGGTGTGAAGGGCCGCCGTTTCCGCGCATGCGCGTCGTTCCTCGCGTATGTTCGGTACCTGAACTGATTGGCATAATGTTCAGTCGATGCGTTATGCCGATTGAACCAGAAGAGATCGCTCCCTGTAGCTGCTCTCGCGATGCCTCTTCACCGCTGCCGTCTGTTACTTCCCAGCCTCCTTGGGTATACAGCCTCGTCCTCGTCCTCTCGGCCCTTCTGACCAACGTCTGCCTCCCTTCAACCATGATACTCTGGTATGCAGGATTGTGGAGCGGGAGCCTGGTTTCGTCGACATTGATGGCTTGCGTTGTTGGTTTACCAGGAAAGAAGACGCTCAACTCATTCTGACCGGTCTGCTGGACCAACCCACCATGCCACAGTATCGCAGCCTCCAGGCCACCGTTTGCTGCGTATAAAGCGCGACGAGGAAAGGTGCCGAGATTGGGCAAGGTGACCCAATCTCCATGGTCTTGGCCACCGGTAGGATCGATCGTAATACCATGGACGGTACACATATGCTGATAGACTGCCTGAGCAATGCCCGCGGTGTATAGGCACCCCAAGATCAAGCAGGCGTACTTGGCGAGCTGATCGTCAACGGCTGGTTCCTCTGAGAGTGGTCTGCCCTTCTTACGCCGATTAGGGCCGCGTTGGCGCTGAGCCCATGAGGCGAACGATATTTTCATGTCCGTGGCACTGACCGCGGCTTTGCGGGGCTGCTTCTTCTTGCGAGCACTGTTCGCAGGCCCTCCCTGACTCTGTCCAGACCGCTCTGTGTTAGAGGCCTCGTCAACAGATTCCGGCGCCTGTCCAGCTTGAGCCACTTCTGCGACATCTTCACCTCCTTGGTTGCGCCTCGACCTCCGTCGCGGCGTTGTGGAACTGTCTGCGGCAGCAAATCTTCCTGGGGCGCGAGTTCTAGGGAGCTCGCCAGTTGTCCGCGCACTGAGAGCTCTTCTCCCACCTAAACAATGACTTCTCATGTGCTCGTTAAGGTTGCCTCGATCGAAGCATTCCTCTCCGCAGTCGGGGCAGTCAAAATCCGCACTGTCTGACTGCTTCGGTGGGTTCGCCATGGCGCTCTCGGGCGATACGAGAGGTGATCGCCTGAGCCCTGTCCACTATCAGTTCCTTACTGCAAACCAACCACGGTGCGACGGAATTTTGCTCGCAGGAGCCCTTGATCTGGTTACACTGCAAGTCCCAAGCGGCGTCGGGCGTGATCGCTCACAAGAGCTTCCTGCTGTGCGCGGCCGTTGACGATGCAAGATATGTAAAGATACTGACGTTCGTGCATTGAGCTATGCGAGCAAATCAATTCGGCGACCTGGACATCCGGAAACCAAGATTTGGTCTTGGCGCGAACCTTAAATCGCCACATCGATATCCTGCGCAACAGAGGACCGTCACAATGGGACCACGTTATTGGCAAGCAGCTTCTAAGCAATCACGTACAGCATTGATAGCAGGAAAACAGCGGCGACCGTGAGATCATTCAATACGGTATATACTCTCTGGACTCAGCAATGGGCATGGCCACTACTTCTATGCCGTTTGCTATGCGACAAAGAGTGCTGCCAAATCGCTCAAATGTCTTATCGCGCAATCGTACCCGCCAAACGCAAGAAACAGGCTCCGTTGCTGGTTGTCAGCTCCACCACACCTTCGCTCTCGAGCTGCCTGACCGCCATGAGCAGCTCATCCACAGTGAATGGAGTGCTTCCATCTCCCAGACTCCCGTCGATTCTGGGCCTGATGCTCTGGATCGTGCGTGGAATGCGCTGATTGACGTCGTCCGTCCAGGAGCCCAGCCATTCAGCAAGATCCTCATCCCTGTCAAATGCTCTGCGGAACTCGACGAACCTGACATGTGCCACTCCTGTAGGCAGAGTACTCAAGTCAACGTTGCGGCTGTCTGTCCTGCCTGGCCTCGTAACGGAAACCTGGGTCGTTGCGTTACTCGCACTGTACTGGTGTCGAGTTTCGGAATTGCGCACACCTGCGATGCTCCTTGACCCAGGCGCAGTCTGCGGCGGGAGAGGTACACTGATGCGGCTCTGGCTCTCGACTCCCTGCGCAGACGGCGCCACGCTCATGGCCTGTGACACATTCTGCGCCTGAATTGATCCGCCACTGGGCTGAATTGGTGCTGCCATCTGTATCCTCGCAAGTGCTGCACCTTCGCCCTGCAGCACAGCTTGGATGTCCACAAGAGCCGGATCGTGCGCGCCTTTGTTGCCGTCCTCACGATTCAAGTCGAAGTTGCGGCTTCTGTCCCTTATCTTCGCATTAGGCTTGGTGCTCGATCTTAGCAGGCCTCTGTTGATATTGTGCTGAGTGTGAAGATGTCACTCCATGAAGAACCCGTCAAGCAACAGATCTGTGCATCTGGGGCACTGGGTTCCACCAGGCGCTTGTTGGCTTTGAGACATCTTGCTCTGCTTCTTGAAAAGGCTTGTTGAAATGCTGGGCAAGAGGCCAGGATACGCTCGGTACGAATGCTGGCTGGCTTTGCTATCTGGATTCTTCGCGCTGAAGGAGTCTTGGGCCCTATTGAGCAGGTTGCTAGAGTGTTGTGCACAGTTACTCGAGTGGTCACGCATGTGTTGAAGAAGACTTCTCGCCAATGTTCGAAACCTGTGAGGCTGTGGATACATTCACAAGCCAGGCACCCGCACAAAAATCGACCCTCGCAGTGAGACTTCCATTCACCATCAGCAAATGCATCACGTGGCTGTCTCAAACGAACAAGCACACCGACGAAGCTCTTCTCGATGACCCTCGGCGCCATCGTGGTGCGCACGACGTAGATCGGCGGCGTCTCGTCGCAGGCCAACCCCTCCATTTCCTCATTACGCTGCACCATCTGCTGGTGGTACCAGCGGCAACCGTAGCGGTAATAGATGCACTCGAACAGTTTCGCCTCCTGGCGCATGCGAACACCAATCTTGAACGCCTCAAGCACGGCGCGGTTGACCGGGTGGCAGAGGAAGCTCACCTCCTTGAAGATCAACTGCGTAAGGTCATCCGCAGAGGGCCGTCATTTCCAGAGCCAGCCGGAAGCTTTTGTCTGCACGCTCTTCACCAGACCGCCAAGGCTCCATGCTGTAGCATCTGCGGTCGTCGTCGCTGCCTCCGTCTTATCTTCGATCGTATCCACCCCGTCGTGCTTCAGATACTTCGCCGCACGTGCCTCATCGTCGTCCGCAAACTCTCCCGACGATCTCTTCCTCTTCGTCGGGCGTTTGGCCATGGCGATCTCCGAGGTGGCGAGCTCGTCGACGGAGGTGGTGTCGAGTTGTGCAGGGCTACCTGCCCCATTCGGCGTCGCGGAGAGGGCATCGTCAACGTCTCCGCCCTCACTGTCATCACGGGCGGAGGGTCTGCTTGGTGGTGGTGCCTCAGCACCTGCCAAATCTGGCGGCGCGGAGATGGCATCAGTGCCGGTCTGCAGCTCACCACCATTGTCCGCGATCTCCGCCTCGCCGTATGCGCTTAAGGGACTATATGGCGGCGGAGCACTCGATGACCGCACAACTCGCGGCAGAGATGCTGCTTGTACTTCTGCATTCAGCATAGGCTCAACGGCCCTCTCCGCGCTGCCATCAATGGTTGGTGCCGGTGCAGTCGGTGACATGGTGCTATCGATTGATGCTGTTGTCTCGGGGATGCTTGCTGCTGCTGCCATATTGCGCTTCATCTGCTTGACTGCCTGCACTACCACCTTGTCCATGTACACCTCCCTGGCTGACCCGCTGTACCGTAGCGCGACGTGTGGTTTGCCGTACATGCTACCGTTCTTCTCCGGCTTTGGCATCTTCTTCTTGGGTATCTGCCAGTCCTTCCAGTTGCCTCCAGTCACTATGGGTTCGTACTCCTCTTGAGGGCCAAGCAAACATAGCTCGTCGGTGTGGATGTTTCTCAGTTCGAGTATCATCAAGCCGCGCTCCCCTGCAATCTGGTCTCTGCCCCCGTAGCTTGGAGGTAGATCGATACCGGCGAAGATCTCGAGCCAGTGTTTCTTGCATTGTGGGCAGTCGTCTCTGCCGACGAGCTCGCGCGCTTGAATCTTCATGCTTGCTGCTCTTTGTAATGGTCTGGAAGTGCTCGACGGTTGTGAGGGTTCGATTCTTGGAGGAGGACTGGATTGTGAGTGTGGTCGATCTCTGTCGTCGTCGTCGTCGCCGCCGTCGTTCGCTGATGGATTGGATTGGCGTAGCGATGTCTGAAGGCTTGGTTGACAGTCTTGCGGCGATGGAGCTTGTCGTCGTCGTTAAAACTGGTTTGTTGCTGACTTGCGCAGAATCGAAACAGAGCGAAACAGCAACACCTCCGTGCCTCCGCCAAGCTTCAACGCCACTACCGACCAGCACGACCAACACCACCGACCTTGGACAGCGCAACAACCACATTGTCAAACAGGCTTAAACTTGGTGAGCTCTCTGCACAGATGATTCTCTCGAATCTCCATGTTCGTCCATAGTTGTACGTGCAATACTGACCGAGATGTGAAGCTATAGGGCAAACCACACCGGCTGGTCCTCGGACGGGCTTCACGTCTATCATAAACAAGAGAGTCTAGCAGCTCTATCATCCTTCAGTTGTGGTAGAGTGAGTCCCTCCATATCTTCCACGAGCCCGCTAGCTCAGTGGTAGAGCGCCTGATTCAATGTCACATTGACGCTCGTTATAATGAGTCCTCAGGAGGTCGTCGGTTCGAACCCGATGCGGGCTACATACAAACATGCAAACTCACCTTCAATTCAATTGCTGACAACTCTTTCTCCTTACAGATGCCGGCGGGGGCTGCCGCTGGGTTCTATCCATTGCTGGAGGTGTCTCATTCCATTGGGACCCCTGTCACTTGCTATCGTCGCTTGCGGTGTGTCTCTTCAAATACAGTCTGTGCTAACTTCGAACAGTGGTTTACTTTCTCTGATAAGCGGTGTTTCTTTCATTAGAAACGCCCAGAAGTTCCACGTTGAACAAGATAGCTCTGAGTCTCCTCGGGACGGACATCAACTATCATCTTCTTTTTGTCATTTTCACTCTACATACTCCAATTTCTTTTGCTGTGGGCGTACATACTCAACGCAGAACATTCAACATCTCTGCGGCGACATGGCTGCACTGAGACTCGCGAAAACGACGGTACTGGCTCGAAAGCGGTCACGGCGTTGCGGAGGCGCTCCCTCAGAGATAATGCCATCTTTTGTTGCTAGCAGAGCAAACAACACAACTGCAGCCACCTTCAGGCGAATGGCAAGGTACCTAGTATCATGACACGACTGCGCCTGTAACGACCTTAGCAGGCTGGAAACTCGAGGCATTACAATTGACTCCGCGAACAGATACGTTCTTCTCCTCTAAAGCACCCTTGTCACGGTATCAAGAACAGAAAGCGCCTCACACCCTCACATTCGGCGCACAAGAACAGAGGTCGCTCTTTAAGGTCAGAGCATACGCAGTTGCAATTCGCACCACGCTGTTCATTGGAAGAGAACGCTTGCCTGGGCCATACTCAGAACGCGAGAACAGTAAGACAGGCCAGCTCTCAACACTTTTCATTCAACTTAGATACTCCTACACGATCAGTTAAACTCACACCTCGATGACAGTGTCATCCACAATCTGGACCTTGATGCTGGGGGTCTTGGGGTCCGCACAAAGATTCATTGCCTCCACAGCCTGCTCCAGAGGGAAGGTGTGCGTCACAAGCGCGTCGATGTTCAAGACCGCACCAGAAATAGCATTGATACCAGCAGGCCTAGAAATAAGAGTCAGCAGAGATACCATAAACAGTTCATGAACGAGCGCACTCACCAAGTGTCGGAGTAGCGGTTGATGAAGCGAAGAGAAATCTCGGACAAGCTGAGCTGCATAAACGGTATGTTGTTCATGATGCTGCGGCCTACACCAATCACCATGACTGTACCGCTTCTCCGGCAGGTGTATGCAGCGGTGATGACACTGGACTCAATGCCGGTACACTCCAGAACCGTGCTTGGAGCATTGTACTCCGTCGCTGAAGGTCCCGCACGCTCGATGTCTCTCGGACCGCAGCCGTACAGAGCTCGAATCTCCTCTGAACATTGCGCAGGTGTCTTGCCCATCTGGATGAGGTACGTTCCGACTCCAGGTATCAGCTTTCTAGCGAAGTCAAGCTTCGACTGATCAACGTCCGTTATGACAAGCGGCCATGCGCCTGTAGCCTTCGCCGCCGCAAGAGCACACAGACCGATAGGGCCAGCTCCGCATATCAGTGCTGGTCTTCCGACACCAATCGTACCTCCGCACTGCTTGATTGCATGCAGGACGACCGACAGCGGCTCCACCAGAGCACCCTGAGCAAAGGTCATGTTGTCCGGCAGCTTGTGCAGATATTTAGCGTCATGAGCCATGAAACGCCTGATAGTACCAGCTGACGGACAGACACCGGCGAATTTGACGTCTTCGCAGAGATTGTATTTGCCCGCATCACACAGCCAACACTTTCGGCACGGGACGCCTGGTTCGATTGCCACTTTGTCGCCGACAGATACGTTCGTAACGTCGGAGCCAACGGCAAGAACAACGCCGGACGGCTCGTGACCCAGGATGCATGTCCTGTCGACGATGAGAGGTCCTATCTGTCCGGCATGCCATAGATGCATGTCAGACCCACTGTGAGGCGTTAGCCATCGACGTTGGAAGGTAGGAAAGATTGCTATGCATACCAGATGCCTGTACATCTCACGTGCACGAGCGCTTCTTGGGCAGTCGGCGTTGGAACCTCCGTTGGTCGCAGTTCGATGTTGTGATCTGGCGTTACATACAGGGCAGGGTTGCCGTACGATTGCAGACGTTGGATTAGGGTGGCAGTGTCGCTCTGTGTCGACACCTTCTGCCGCTTCAGGCCGTTGCCGTTCGTTTCGACTGCAGCCATCTTGATCGGGAATGATGTAGTCGGAAGTAAGCTCGAGAGTACAGTGAGAAGGATAAAAGCCCAACGAAAGAGGAGGAAGGAGGAAGTGTAGTCAGAAGAACGGATGCCTCGATATGGTAATCCGACGGCTATATAAGAACGACCTCCATTTCTCCACTCAGAACGTCACAGCTATCCGGCAGAGCTCTGGGGTCCCCGCAGACCTCCAACGGTCTTCAGGGAGCAACAGGAGACGATGCTGCGAGCCTTCCCACTGCCATACCGAGGGGTATCCAAGGCCAAGAAATCCCTGCACAGCCATGACGGACGCAAGGTTGACAGACCCGAGTTGCAGATGACAAGAGGTTCGACCGAACGACGACATCTGGGAATAATCTGGTACATTGATGGTCAGGCTTTTCCTCCTGTGCAGTTCGCAACGGTGTTGACACCGAATGCACCAAACTTGGCATTCGCTACGGCTCCTCGGAAGATCTACACCGATTTTGCTCCCTCATTGTACCGTCAGGTGGCATTGCCGACGAGCAGAACTCTTGGTTTCCGAACAGCAAGGGTTGCCGAAACTGACGGACAAGCTTCTTGAACTGGCTTGAGACCAGAATGAGGCAAATTGGTTGATGCGGGAGAAACACCAATTCCATGGTCACACGGGAGAGTCCCCTCAACAAACTGTATTTCCAGCATCAAGTTATGCGGTCGTGTGGCCTTGAGTTGAAAAGGCCAATACCATGACACCGGCAGCTCATGTCCAGGCGTAGAGGCGAAGTGCTGACGTGGGCATGGTAATCTCATAGTTTCGCTGCGGACTTTGCCTCTGCATTCTCAGACATGAGCTTCTCGAGCTCGCTCCGGACTTGTGGCTCGAGGCCTTCCGGAGGCGGTCTGTTGCTCTTTCGGTCAACCCAGATCTGAACGAAGCCGCCGACAGCTTTGACCTGCTCGCTACCTTCTTCAAAGATTCCGCACTCGTACATAACGGAGTTTTTGCCTAGCTTCACGACTCTCAGGCCCACTTCGAGCATACTTGGGTAGGCTACACTTCCAAAGTAGTCACAGTAAGTGCTCGCCACTAATGCCGTGCGTGGGTAGCTGTGAGTGTTGTAGCCACAGTGCTTGAAGAGGTAGTCGTTGATGATACTATCGATCAGCACACCATAGATCGGGTTGTTCAGATGATGGAACATGTCATTGTCCGCCCTGCCATCGTCAGCTTGTGAAATCGATCGGGAGCAATGGCGAGCAGACCAGCGTGTTCGATAGTCCAGGCGATATGCATAGTCTTTCCGCTGTCTCTGCTTCTTCGCCACGAGATCGAGACCCAACGACTCAGGCATCCTGCAAGTACAGCGCCTAAGACCTGTAATAATGATGAGCAAGTCTGATGGTGTGAACCGCGAAGACATTGGAAGCCATATTGCCGAGGTCAACCAGCGGGATCAGCCGCGCGGTCAAACACGAACACAACGCGAGTCTGTCTTCCTCCAGGCCATCATCAAGGTGTTTCCTGTCCTCCATCATCGGCATCACCGACGTAGTCGGCTTGGATAGAGCGCCCGGCTCCATACAGGCCACGCGCACCTTTTCCGGTGGCGTGATTGCTTGACCAATTCCGCACGATGCAGGAACAAGACCATAGGCAAATCGAACCCGTACACCCAAATGCAGCAAGACTCTGCGTGTGCAGCTCTCAGCCGCCTGTACAGCTCTGTAGATCTCGTATGTTAGCTCAGAACCATGCGAGGCGTAAGCTGTTCTGGGATCTGCCGAGTCACAGCTGAAGGAACCGGGCTGGCTGAGGATATGTACCACGTCCCGATAGCTGAGTGGACTGATGTGCGAAATCTAAGACATCGCTCAAAATTGCTTATATTGCAGAGATTCTCCTCAAAAGTGAAGTACTCAAGCTCTACTTTTTTGCTACTCCTTCCAGCGCATATTTACAAAATGGCTACGTCCAACATCACTCAGCTCCTCGCACAAGTAGCCTCGACGGGTATCCAAGCCACCACAGCGTCCGGACGGAATGCTGCCCTCTCTGCAGCACGCTCTCTTGTCGCCGCACTCGAGAGCCCGGCTGAGCGAATTGCGCGAATGAGTTGGTACGATCCACTGCTCATTGCTGCGGTGCGCCTCGGCATTGATGCAAAACTGTTCATTGAGCTCCGAGAGCATGCTGGAAAACCCAGGACGATCTCCGAGTTGGCTGGTGCGAATAAAGCAGATCCAGTATTGCTGGCCCGACTACTCAAGCTCCTGGCCACTGCAGACATTGTCAAGGAAACCAGCCCCAATAGCTTCGCCGCAACGCCCACGAGTAATCTTCTAGCCACTCCTGAAGGCTCAGGCTCCATCGTCAATTGCTTCTCTGGCATATCGACCGCAAATTCCAAGATCGTCGAATACTTCCGCGCGCGCGGCTACCGCAACCCAATAGACAAAGACGACAGTATCTGGAGATATGCATCAGGTAGTGAGCTGCACTACTTTGACTGGGTCTTCAAGCCTGGCAACGAGGAAGAAGTCGAGGCGTTCCTGAACCACATGAAGTTCAAGACTTTGGCGACAAAGTGGTACGAAGCTGTTCCGATCGACCAGGTCTTCGGAGGCGCCTGCAAAGAGGACGAGGTGTTGATGGTAGATGTTGGTGGCAACACGGGGTACGACATCCTGGGTTTCCACCAAGCACATCCCGAAGTCAAGGGACGTCTGATTGTTCAGGACCTGCCTAAGTCCATCGCAGCAATCGACAAGGAGGAGATCAAGCCTGTCGAGACAATGGAGCACGACTTCTTCACACCGCAACCAGTGCG